CAGCGCCAATCACACTGCCGCCCGCGCACCTCCTTCAGAGCAAGGTTGGGACCGCCATTAGTGGCCATACTGGGATGCTCATTTTTCCCTCACACCTAAACAGGTGCAGCTCTCCCTTATACACGAAAAGACAGCATCCAGAGAGAGAAGAAGAGATTTGCCCACAGCCCCACGCCTGGTCAGCGGCGGGCAGGGCTGTGTGACCCACAGCCAGCCTCTCCTGTCCTGACCTCCTGGGTGGGAGTCGGGCACTGTGCCACGTGCACGTTTCTGGAGTGGCCAAGGGCAGGGGGTGACCGCCATTCCCCCCAGACCTGACAAACCATCTGGTGGAGCTGCTTCCCGAGGCCAGGGTTGGAGACTCTCATCCTAGGCCTCTCCCTGGAGCTGATTCTCGGAACCTTAGGGAAGAGGCTGCTCCAGCCCTGGGCTTAGCAACTCTCCAATGTGGCCAAGATGCCACACACCCCGGCTGCCTGCCTTGTGTCTGGGCTCCCAGCACCAGAAAGCTATGACAGGTAGGGGCAGACATTGGGTTCCCTGCCACTTCCTCATGCTGGGTTCCCAGGGCCTCTCCCTGCCCCCACACATCTGCCCTCTGCAGGGCGGGTCCGGACTCAAGGAAGGAGCTCAAGGCTGGCACCACCTCCCTCCCTGGCTTCCATTGCATTAATCTGTAAAGGAGGCTAATAACTCTCTCCTGGCGTGGCCCTTGTGAAGATAACAGATTTTTTTTTTTTTTTTTTTGAGACGGAGTTTCACTCTTGTTACCCAGGCTGGAGTGCAACGGCGCGATCTCGGCTCACCGCAACCTCCGCCTCCTGGGTTCAGGCAATTCTCCTACCTCAGCCTCCTGAGTAGCTGGGATTACAGGCACGCACCACTATGCCCAGCAAATTTTTTGTATTTTAGTAGAGATGGAGTTTCACCATGTTGACCTGGATGGTCTCGATCTCTTGACCTCGTGATCCACCCGCCTCGGCCTCCCAATGTGCTGGGATTACAGACTTGAGCCACCGCGCCCGGCTGAAGATAACAGATCTAAAGTCACTTTGAGATACCAAGAGGCCCCATACACTGGCAAGATATCATCAGCATGACTGCTCCCCCCAGGGCTGGGTGAGAGAGCTAGTGATGTCCCTCTGTACCAAAGAGGCTTGTGGGGTGGGTGGGAGGCTAGAGGCGTGGCTGGGCCCTCCTGCACGTGGGGAGTAGTAGAGTGTGGAGGAGGCATTTGAATGAAGGTACTGTGGTAAGGAGAGCGGCCCAGCTGCTCCGACAGGCTGGAATTGAGGCTCTTGGGGGCGTCTCCTGCCAAGACTCACCCATCCCTGGAGCACCCTGTGAGCTGGGCCTCGGGCTGTGCCATGCTCAGGGCTCTGTGGGGAGCGGGTCGAGGCTGCTGGGGCCTTAGTGGTCTGGCCCCATGGGATCGGAAAACAGATCTGCTGGGAAAACATGGCACCAAGCCCCGGGGCTGCTTTGGACTGTCAAGGCTGGAGGCCTGGCTGCTTGCCGAAGCTGGAATAAACTGAGAAAGAGACTGAGACTTTATAGACTTCCCGTGAGCGGGGGGCCCAACCCTCCCCCTTTATTTTTATTTACTTATTTTGAAAGACATGGTCTCACTCTGTCACCTAGGCTGGAGTGAAATGGCACAATCTCGGCTCACTGCAACCTTCGTCTCCCAGGTTCAAGTGAGTCCTGTCTCAGCCTCCAGAGTAGCTGGGACTGCAGGTGCGCGCCACCATTCCCAGCTATTTTTTATATTTTTAGTAGAGACAGGATTTTGCCATGTTGACCAGGCTGGTCTTGAATTTCTGGGCTCAAGTGATCCGCCCACCTTGGCCTCCCAAGTAGCTGAGACTACAGGCTTGCACCACCACACTCAGCTAATTTTGAAGTTTATTTGTAGAGATGACATCTCACTATGTGGACCAGGCTGATCTTGAATTCCTGGGCTCAAGTGATCCTCCCACCTCAGCCTCCCAAAGTGCTGGGATTACAGGCGAGAGTCACTGTGCCCCAACCCAACCTCCTTTTACAGACAAGGAAGTTGAGGCTTGCAAGAGAGATGTGACAAAAACTAATAACGGACCAGAAAGAATCATGTGTGAGAGGCGGTGGAGGGTGCTGAATGCCAGTCCCAGCTCTGCCCCCAGCAGCCCTGGCCTCAGCCCTGGCACGCAGTGTCCACTCGGCTATACTGAGTGGGAATGGAGTGATGGCTGCAGATGGACTTTTCTGAGAACTTACCGTAGAAGGGACTTGTCTGAGGTCACACAGGGAGTGAGGCTGGACCCAGAGGCCTCACCAGGGTTGTCCACAAGGGGCAGCAGAGGAGAGGCCCATCTTCCCACCCAGGAGCCCTTCCCTATCCCCAGTTCCCCAAATGGGAACCTGATGCTGTCTGGAGCGCCTACCCCTCCTCTGGTCTCTGGCGCCCCCGTGTGGCCTCAGTGAGCAGGCCCCTTCCTACCTCCTGTGGGCTCCACCCCTGCCCCGCCCTCACGAGGGCCAGGAATCCCTCAGGTGAGAGGGATCTGAACTCCCGCCCCCTCCCTTCCAGGAGACCGGAGGCAATGGAAGGGATCCCCAGAGTTTGGTTTGCATCTTGGCTCGCCATCCCAGCCTGGCTGATTTAGGTAACACACCCCGACCTTGTTTCCCCAAACATTTCTCAGCCCATGAGCCCTGTGTAGCTACAGAGTGGGCCTCTAGGGAGATGACATCGGAGGCAGGGCCAGTCTGAGACCAGCCGGACAACATAGTGAGACCCTGGCTCTTAAAAAAAAAAAAAAAAAAAAAAAATTAAAATTGAAAATCAGGTGTCATGGTATGGGCCTGCAGTCCCAGCTACTTGGGAGGCTGAGGTGGGAGGATCACTTGATCCCAGTATGTTGAGGCTGCAATGAGCTGAGCTTACAGCATTGCACTCCAGCCTGGGTAACACAGCAAAAATCTGTCTCACAAAAAAAAAGACTAGGCGTGATGGCTCACACCTGTAATCCCAGCACTTTGAGAAGCCCAGGCAGAAGGATCACCTGAGGTTAGGAGTTCGAGACCAGCCTGGCCAACGTGGCAACATAGTGCAATCCTGTCTCTTTAAAACAAATAAATAAATAATCACATGCGAGACCCTTTGTGGGGAGAAACACCCTGTTTGCTACAACATTCATGGAACACCCCTCCCTCAACCTGATCCTGCCTCCATCTCAGGAAGATCTCCCTAGGGTGACAGCAGAGGCAAACCCCTAAACAGGTCTTTTAATGAAATCATGTGTTGGCCAGTGCCTCAAGCCTGTAATCTCAACACTTTGGGAGGCTGAGGTACAGATTGCTTGAGTCCAGGAGTTTGTGATCAGCCTAGGCAACATGGTGAAACCCCAACTCTACAAAAAATACAAACGTGGCCAGGTGTGGTGGCTCACGTCTGTAATCCCAGCACTTTGAGAGGCCGAGGCAGAAGAATCACCTGAGGTTAGGAGTTTGAGACCAGCCTGGCGAACATGGCAAAACCCCATCTCTACTAAAAATACAAAAATTAGCTGGGTGTGGTGGCACATGCCTGTAATACCAGCTACTTGGGAGGCTGAGGCAGAAGAATCGTTTGAATTTGGGAGGCTTAGTTTGCACTGAGTTGAGATCATGCCACTGCACTCTGGCCTGGGCGACAGAGCAAGAATCCAACTCAAAAACAAAACAAAACAAAACAAAAAAACATTAACCCGGCCTGGTGGTGTGGACTTGTAGTCCCAGCTACTTGGAAGGCTGAGGTGGGATGATCACTTCAGCCCAGGAGGTTGAGGCTGTGATGAGCCATGATTGCACCACTGCACTCCAGCCTAGGGGACAGAGGGAGACCCTGTCTCAGAAAAGAAAGAAAATGTTGTCCAGGCTGGGTGTAGTTGCCCACATCTGTAATCCCAGAACTCTGGGAGGCCGAGGTGGTAGGATCACTTGAGCCAGGCTGGTCAACATAACAAGACCCTATCTCTCCAAAAAGTAAAGTAAAAGATTAGCTGGGTGTGGTGACATATGCCTATAATCCCAGCTACTCAGGAGGCTGAGGCAGGAGCCTAAGGTCAAGGCCGCAGTGAGCTATGATTGAGCCACTGCATTCCAGCCTGGGTGACAGAGAGACGCTGTCTCAAAAAAAAAAAAAAAAAAAAAAAAAAAAGTGTTGTCTGAAGCCACTGATATGTCCCCCGCTTTAATCTCTCCTCATGGCGCCTGGTCCATCCCAGCTGGACACGGCTGGACAAAAATCAGAGATACCATTGGACAGACAAGCCCCTCCCCTCCCCACCTCCTCCAGCCCATCTCAGACTCCTCTTGTCCTTCAGGTTCCAGGTCGGACTTCAGGCCCTGCTCCTACCTAAGCTTAAAATGTCTGCGGTGTTGGTACCAGCCCAGCTCCACCTCCACTCCAGGGTCTACTTTAGAAGCCACCTTGTCCTCAGCCCCTCAATTCCCCTTCCTTCTTCCAGAGCCTCAGTGTGCCCATCTGCCAAATGGGAGTGACCATCCCTGCCCCACCTTCCTGTCTCCTACGTCAGCTCTGATGATAAAAATCAAAGTGAGATCAGAAACATTTTTTGGGGGGAGGGTGGGCGATGGGTGCCAAGCTTGGGCAAACCCGGGAGAGAGCGAACTACAATTCCCATCCGGCTCCGGGGCCGCGGGCGTCCCTAGCCCCTCTCCTTTAGCCAAGGCCAAGGCGGCTGCGGCCCAGGGGGCAAGGGAAGTTGCAGTGCCTCGCGCCTCCCGGGTCAGGGCCCAGGTACGGCTGGGTCTGGGGCCGCGCGGGGACCAGGGAGGTCGTTCCGACCCTGCGAGACAGTACCCGCGCCCCGCACAGAAGCCAGTTGCTCCCCGCGGCCCGCCCCCTCACTTCCTGGCCCGGAGTTGGGCCCACCCCGCGCGCCTCCGCCACCACCTTCACCTCGAGCCGAGGCTCCCATTGGCCGGCGCGCACCTGCCCGTCCGTCGGGGGGCGGGGCGCGGCGCCCAGGTGAGAGCGCGCAGGCGGCGGCGGAGGAAGGTGACAGCGGGGAGGGCGGGAGAGCGGGGGGAGGACGTGCGGAGGACGTGCGGACAGAGCCGCAGACGGTCTGGCGGACGGACGGCCCGACGGGCGGGCATGCGGGCGGCCGGACTCTAGCAGGGGAGCGAGGCTCCGGCCGCAGCCATGGAGCGGCGGCTGCGCGCGCTGGAGCGGCTGGCGCTGGGCGAGGCCGGCGGCGGCCCGGGGCTCGACGGCCTCCTAGATCTGCTGCTGGCGCTGCACCACGAGCTCAGCAGCGGCCCCCTGCGGCGGGAGCGCAGCGTGGCGCAGTTCCTGAGCTGGGGTGAGTGGCGGGGCGGCAAGGAGCCGGGGCGGGCCTAGGGACCTCGCGCCGAGACCCCGGTACTCGCAGACTCCCCCGCAGGGACCCGCACCCCCACAGGCTTTCCTCGCAGACTCCCTGCAGTGGCTCTGAGGCTTACCACCGGCCCCCCGCGGCCCCTCACACTCTCCTGCACACCTCACCCTCACGTCAGTTCTCACACACGCTCCTTCCCATTCACAGACCCTGACATGGGCACAAACACACTATTTTGTGCCCAGGTATCCACCCCAGACTCATGTACCCATTGCACCAACTAGAGTCCTGTCCAGAATTCCTTGCTCACAGGCCACACCTGGTGCGGGGCACACACAGACCCTCATGCATGTTGCGCACTGAAACACGGGTTCTCTATTCCTTTCGAATGCACTGAGACACACAGCTCACGGGGAGATCCAGGGAACCCTCCAGACCACCCCGACCGCACTGGCTCTGTGAAACACACAGATCTGTAGGTATCGCACACTTGCAGACATCCCCCCACCCCCACCCCGGCAACACCTCCCCCACCCCCAGCTCCCTGCCTGCAAGACCACTGCAGCCTGGACTCAGGAACCGACCTCTCTACCCCTCCACTCGTGCAGGCTGCTGGCCACACTCGGGGAGGGGTGCCTGGCTGGAGATGGGTCTGTACCTTTCCTGGTAGACTCATCTGAGTCATTGGGAGTGTCTGGCCCGGGGTGACCCTGAACCCACTGTGGGCACTGGCGCCAGCTTGAGGGTTCCCTGGTCACACCCTGCCGGGCCATAGGGAAAAGGCACAGGGGCCTGGCCAGGGCGGGGTGAGGCAGGTGTTTGCCCAGTGGGCAACTAGCGTTCCTGGCGCTCCTGAGTTCTGGGGAGGCACAAGGCCGGGGGCGGAGGGGAGAGGCTTCCACCCAGATGTGCCAGGGAGTTGTCCCCTAGCCCCAACCCTTCCATCCAGGGCGAGGCAGTTGGAAGGCCCCTGCCTCTGTGCCTGCCTCCCTGGGACACCTTTGTGCTATGCGTGTGTGCCTGTGCTGCTGTCACCCCCGTGACACCCACACACGTGTGTGTGTTTGCACACACATGGGTGCTCCTCCCTGACTGCCTCTGGCACCTCTGCCTGGGACCCCGGTATGGGGGCTGTTTGTTGACATCTCCCGAGGTAACTCAAAGGGCCGTGACTCATTCCTCTCCTGCCACAACTTGTCCCTGCCCCTGCCCAGAGCCCCCATGCCCTGTGGGAGGCAAGAGGATTGGGCAGCCTGTCCAGGGGCCTGGACCCTCCTGCCTGTGGGCCTGGGCTTCGGGTGGGTCCCCATGTGGCTGGCTTCGGCTCCCCCTGGGAGGCCTGGGGCTGCTCCTCCCCAGCTCCACACACAGACCTGGGAAAGAGACAATGAATTTCTGTAATGAGGTTTCCACCCCACCCCCGCTGCGGGCTTCTGCCTGATAAACCTGTGGAGCAGCTCTCTGTCCCACCCGCAGACCCGCCCAGCTGGCAGGGAGTTTACCTCCTGGCAGGGGGAAACTGAGGCAAGGCGCCAGAACACGGCTGCCCCCCATCCTGACTGATCACTCCTGCCTCCCTAAGACCCAATTCTCTCCCAAAACCTGTGGCTACTCCAGGCCTGGGAAGGGCCTGGGAGTGGCTGGAGTTGCCCCTCCTGGAGGTATCTGGGATTTGAGGAAAGAGGACGTTCTTGGCCAGGCAAAGGCCTCGACTGGACAGGGAGGCAGAACTCGGAGGGAGAGGGCCAGTCAGGCCTGGAGGCAGCCTGCGCACTCACACCCTCAGGGGCCAGTGCTGGCACCAGAAAGGCATCTTGGTCCTGTTTGTGAGTCTCGTGTGCACCTTGGCCAACTGGCATCCATGCCTCCAACCAAGGGGCCCCACGTAGGGAGCATAGAGCCTGTCCCCCCTGCCCTAGTGGCTGCAGGCCTGACCCCCCAGCCAGGTACCTCTGTGCCTACAGGGTCCCCGGACACAGGCCCATAGCTCCTGAATGGCAGAGAAGCCTCTCTGGGGATAAGGAATGTCACCTGTCCAGTTTCCCAAGACAGGCCCTGGCCTGGCCCTGTGAGGGGGCCAAGAACTGTGAGCTGAGGGTAGGAGTGGTATCCCCATGGTCCCCAGGGTGACCTGGCCAAGCAGAGTCAGACCCCAGGCTGGGCAGAATTGCAGGTCCCATCAGCCCCTGGGATGGAGGCTGCCTTGTCTGGGGCTGGGGGTCCAGGGAGGTATGGGGACCAGGCAGTCAGCTGAGCCCAGCCTTTGACTTTCCACTCTTCCTGATCATGGCCAAGGAGGACCGGCTTCTGCCAACCTTTTGGCCCGAGGCTGTCCCTGGAGAGGTCATCCCTGCAGGACTCACAGGAGTGGCAGCTCCTGGCCTGCCCAAGGTGAGGGGGTCCAAGGCCCGCCCTGCACACACTCTGAGTCCCGCCCTGTGTCCCCTCAGCCAGCCCTTTCGTAGCAAAGGTGAAAGAGCTCCGTCTGCAGAGAGATGACTTTGAGATCTTGAAGGTGATCGGCCGAGGAGCCTTTGGGGAGGTGAGCAGAGGGCCCAGGTAGGTGGGGAGGAGGTGTTCACACCAGGCCGGGCTCACCCCACTCCTCCCTGTGCCTGTAGGTTGCCGTGGTGAGGCAGAGGGACACTGGGCAGGTTTTTGCCATGAAAATGCTGCACAAGTGGGAGATGCTGAAGAGGGCTGAGGTCAGTGTGGGGTCGGGGGGACCCTTGGGTACCTTACAAATGGGTGTGGGGGCGGTGTTTGCTGCCAGGGCCTATGGGGCATGGAGGGCAAGCAAGGTTGCAGACCAGACAAAGGATGCCACCCTCAGCAGCCACTGATCTTTCTTACAATAAACCCTTTTTTACGTTTTTTTAATTTTTATTTATTTATTTATTTATTTATTTATTTATTTATTTTGAGAGGGAGTCTCACTCTGTCGCCCAGGCTGGAGTGCAATGGTGTCATCTCAGCTCACTACAATGTCCACCTCCCGGGTTCAAACAATTCTCCTGCTTCAGTCCCCCATGTCACTGGGATTACAGGAATGTACCACCACACCCAGCTAATTTTTGTATTTATAGGGGGTTTGTATTTATATGGGGTTTCATTAAGTTGGCCAGGCTGGTCTTGAACTCCTGACCTTGTGATCCACCCGCCTCAGCCTTCCAAAATACTGGGATTACAAGCATGAGCCACCGCGTCTAGCTAATTTTTTTTTTTTTTTTTTTTTTTTTTTTTGAGATGGGGTTTTGCTCTGTCAGCTAGGCTGGAGTGCAGTGGTGCTATCTTGGCTCACTGCAACCTCTGCCTCCCAGTTCAAGTGATTCTCCTGCCTCAGTCTCCTGAGTAGCTGGGATTACAGGCACCTGTCACCACACCCAGCTAATTTTTGTATTTTTAGTAAAGATGAGGTTTTGCCATATTGAACAGGCTAGTCTCCAACTCCTGACCTCATGTGATCATTCTGTCTCGGCCTCCCAAAGTGCTGGGATTACAGGTGTGAGCCACCACTCCCAGCCTACAATAAACCTTATTATTTAGACAGAGTCTCACTCTGTTGCTTAGACTGGAATACAGTGGTGCAGTCTCCGCTCACTGCAGCCTCCACCTCCCAGGTTCATGGGATTCTCATGCCTCAGCCTCCCTAGTAGCTGGGATTACAGGTGTGTGCCATGATGCCTAGCTAAGTTTTTTGGATTTTTAGTAGAGACGGGGTTTCACCCTGTTGGCCACGCTGGTCTCCAATTCCTGATCTCAAGTGATCTGCCAACCTCGGCCTCCCAAAGTGTTGGGATTACAGTCCTAATAAACCCTTTTGAAAGCAACCAGAGTCATGGTCATGCTGAGGCTGAGCCATAGAGCGTGGGCTTGGGCTGTCGTAGCCAGCCAGGGGACAGCAGAGCCATGACCTCGATCTGAGCTCCCAGACTCACAGAGTCTTTCTCCATCCCCTGAGCTGGCAAGGGGGTCTCCTGGTCTCTGATCCCAGCCCACCCCTTACTTCCACACACCTGCTGCAGACGGCCTGTTTCCGGGAGGAACGGGATGTGCTCGTAAAGGGGGACAGCCATTGGGTGACCACTCTGCACTATGCCTTCCAAGACGAGGAGTATCTGGTGAGGATACTTGGCGGGCCTGGAGGGGGACAGCCACTTGGGGCTGGGGCTGAGGCAACTGGGCCCAAAGAGAGACCATTCCTGGAACCAAGAGACTCCCACTTCCCACCAGCTCCTGGGCTGGGCGCCTCCTGCCTGAACCCTGGTTGGGAACTGGCCAGCCCAGAGCTGCTGGGAGATGTAGCCCTGCCTTCCCAGTGCCCTGTGGGACCGCGGCACAGTGGCCAGGTGCACCCTTCCCCCAGGTCCGACTCTTGTCCCCACCTGCAGTACCTTGTGATGGACTACTATGCCGGTGGGGACCTCCTGACACTGCTGAGCCGCTTTGAGGACCGTCTGCCGCCCGAGCTGGCCCAGTTCTACCTGGCCGAGATGGTGCTAGCTATCCACTCGCTGCACCAGCTGGGCTATGTCCACAGGTGGGCACCAACCCCGCTGCCCTGCCCAGCCCCTGCCAACTGCGCTGGGGACAGCTGATGTTGGCTGAGCACTCACCACGTGCCAGACGCTTCGCTGGGTGCCTCATCCACATGCTTCCTTGGAATCATTCCAAAGAGCCCTCTGTGGCAGGGGCTGCTACTGTCCCCAGCCTACAGTTGAGGGGGTCAGAGCTTAGCACAGGTCAACATCTGGCTCAAGGTGACTCAGCTCATGGGTGGTCAAGCCATGGTCAGCACTGGGGAAGTCTGACTCCGGCATCCCCCACAGCGCACACAGCCACCTCCAGGGGTCGCCCCACACATCCTTTCTCCAATCTAGCCATCTTCCTCCTTCTGGCCTGTGGGACCACATACTCGCACACATGTGGCTCACGTGTGCACACAGGAATGTAAGTGTGGGCTGGTGCTGGCACACAACATGCAGGTGCACCTGGGCGTGTGCTTAAATGGCCACTCACACACAGGTCAAGCCCCTCACTCTCCCTGACTGCCACCCCCTAGGGATGTCAAGCCAGACAATGTCCTGCTGGATGTGAACGGGCACATTCGCCTGGCTGACTTCGGCTCCTGCCTGCGCCTCAACGCCAACGGCATGGTAAGGACCTTGCCTCAGAGTGGGAGCCTGGGATACCAGGCAGGCTGAGCTCTCAGGAGAGTGGGAGACCCCAGGCCTGGTGCAGGGACATCAGGCTCCCCAGGGAAGGTAGGGGGGCCCAGGCCCTGGGTGGGCAGCAGCAGGCCAGCCTGGTGGAGAAGAGGTGCCAGGGCCATGGTGAGGGGCCAGCAGCCCCAGCCAAGCCCTAAGCTGTCCTCGTGGCTTTACCACTATCACCACCCACAGGTGGATTCATCCGTGGCAGTGGGGACGCCAGACTATATCTCCCCTGAGATCCTACAGGCCATGGAGGAGGGCAAGGGCCACTATGGCCCACAGTGTGACTGGTGGTCGCTGGGAGTCTGTGCCTACGAGCTGCTCTTCGGGGTGACGCCCTTCTATGCCGAGTCCCTGGTGGAAACCTACGGCAAGATCATGAACCACGAGGTCTGGACACCAGGCCGTGGGCTTCCAGGGAGGGCAGTGGGACCAAGTCTGTGTGGTTGGAAATCCATATAGGCGAGGCTGGGTTCCTAGACACTTGACCCAGCCTACCCCCTCCCCCAACCCCCAGGACCACTTGCAGTTTCCCCTGGATGTGCCTGACGTGCCAGCCAGCGCCCAAGACCTTATTCGCCAGCTGCTGTGCCGCCAGGAAGAGCGGCTGGGCCGTGGCGGGCTGGACGACTTCCGGAACCATCCTTTCTTCGAAGGCGTGGACTGGGAGCGGCTGGTGAGCAGCACGGCCCCCTACATCCCTGAGCTGCGGGGGCCTATGGACACCTCCAATTTTGACGTGGATGACGACACCCTCAACCATCCAGTGAGTGGCAAAGGCTGCTGCAGGAGGGGAGCTGCCCTATTCCTTGTTAGCTGGGGGGATCCTTCCTCTGAAGTCCCCTGGGGTGGGCTGGGGGTGAGGCCTTCAGACTCCAGGGCTCATGAGTTATGGGTCCCACCAGCCTCCCCATCACTGAGTTGAGTTGCATCAAGGGAAGGCCCTCTGACCAAAGGTATCATCCTATTAACTAGAATCCATATAAGGAAGAAGACTCCCAGCAGCCCCTAGGAGACTTGTGGGCACCGGGGGCCCGTTTGGGTTGGGCTGTGAGCAGGATGTCAGTGCGCCTGGTCCCAGGGGGTTCCTGGGCCTTGGGCTTTGGCCTGTGGACTCTGACTCTCTCCTTCCCTCTCCCTCTGCAGGGGACCCTGCCACCGCCCTCCCACGGTGCCTTCTCCGGCCACCACTTGCCATTTGTGGGCTTCACCTACACCTCAGGCAGGTGAGGCTCATCCTCACACACCCGATGGGAGGCTCGGGTTACCTGGCTGGAGTGCATTAGGAGCATAGCCCACTGGGGCCCTGGGAAGGAGGCCAGAAGGGCTCCCCAGTGCCTGCCCATGCTAGGTGGTCTAGCCCTCATCCTTAGGGGTCCTGGTGAAGCCACACCCAGGTCCCGCTGGGCCCCATACCAGCACATGGCTTTCACGAAGGCCAAGGGTGCACTGTACCTGGAGCCAGAGGCCTGGGTTTGAAAGGGTCCTACTGCTCCTGGGCCTCACTCTGTGGCTCTGTAAAATGGGTGGGATGGGCAGGACGCAGTGGCTCACACCTGTAATCCCAGCACTTTGGGAGGCTGAGGCAGGTGGATCACCTGAGGTCAGGGGCAGCCTGGCCAACATGGTCAAACCCCATCTCTACTAAAAATACAAAAATTAGCCAGGCGTGGTGGCACGCGCCTGTGGTCCCAGCTACTCAGGAGGCTAAGGCAGGAGAATCGCTTGAACCCAGGAGGCAAAGGTTGCAGTGAGCCGAGATCGCGCCACTGCACTCTAGCTTGGGCGACCAAGCAAGACTGTCTCAAAAAATAAGTAAGTGGGATGATCTCTACCTACTCCCATTCGAGGGGCCAGCCTGAGGTCCTGGTGCGGTGTGCTCTGAAGTGGAAGGAAATGGGTCCAACCCCCCACTCCTCGGAGCCAGCTGGGCTGGCGTCACCACATCCTGCCCTGGATAGCCCTTGGGAGAGGCCCTTGTCACCACCATCTTCCCATGGTTTCGGAAACTGAGGCTAAAACATGTTAGGTTCAAGGTGACACAGCTTGTAGGGGCCAGGACAAGGGCTTAAACCTGGACCTGGGGACCCTGGAGCCTGGGCCCTGGAGCTACTGCCCTGGGCTGCCACCCATGGCAACAGCCTGGGGTCTCCCGAGGCAGGGTCTGTTCTGGCTGTTTTGTGGTGAATGAGTGATTAGATGCAGGGGGGTGGAGGAGACTCTGTGGCATTAGGTTTCTGCCCCATGTCCCCCGACAGTCACAGCCCTGAGAGCAGCTCTGAGGCCTGGGCTGCCATGGAGCGGAAGCTCCGCTGTCTGGAGCAGGAGAAGGTGGAGCTGAGCAGGAGGCACCAAGGTACAGGGAGCAGTGGGCCAAGGCTGGGTGTGCTGGCCCTGGAGGCTGCTGCTGCGGGAGCGGACTCACCTGTGGGTACCACCACTCCTCCAGAGGCCCCGCACACTCCCGCAGACCATCGGGAGCTGGAGCAGCTCCGGAAGGAAGTGCAGACTCTACGGGAGAGGCTGTCAGGTATTCCCTCTGCCCACCCCACTGGGGCCGAGTCCCACCCAGGCTTGGGTTCTGCCCCTGCTCTGGATACACTGTATGATTCCTGGGGGAGCATCTTACGCTCTCTCAACCTGCGTGTGGAAGACGGGCCAGAGACTTGTTCCTGGGCTGTGGGGAAGCTTCTGTGAGAGGCTGGGGCCATCAGTACTTGAGGTCTCAGTGACTCTTCCCGGCAGAGATGCTGAGGGATAAGGCTCCCTTATCCCAGACGGATGGGCCCCCGGCTGGTAGCCCAGGCCAGGCCAGTGACCTACAGCAGGAGCTTGACCGGCTGCACCAGGTGAGGGCTGGGTGAGGCAGGTGACTGGCCCTGGGCTCTGTGGATGGTCCATGTCTGACCCTGGGCCTTGTCCTCTGCACCCACTCCCTGCCTCCTCAGGAGCTGGCCGAGGGTCGCGCAGGGCTGCAGGCCCAGGAGCAGGAGCTCTGCAGGGCCCAGGGGCAGCAGGAAGAGCTGCTTCAGAGGCTGCAGGAGGCCGAGGAGAGAGAGGCGGCCACAGCTAGCCAGAGCCAGGCCCTGAGCTCCCAGCTGGAGGAAGCCCGGGCTGCCCAGAGGGAGGTGGGTGACCAGGGTGGGTAGGGACAGCATCTGGGCCCCGCCCCTGTGGCCCCTAGTGTGGCTGGCAGAGGTTGGGCTGGGGGATGGTGCCTGGGATGGGGCAGTCTGGGAGTCCATGCCTCCTCAAGTCCACTGTGGCTGGCAGAGCCTGCAGTCCATGGTAAGGTGGGCAGAAGGGCTGCTGAGAGCAGAGTTGGCACTGACCTGCCTCTGCACGCCTCACAGCTGGAGGCCCAAGTGTCCTCCCTGAGCCGGCAGGTGATACAGCTTCAGGGACAGTGGGAGCAACACCTTGAGGAGTCTTCCCAAGTCCAGGTACCCGAGTCCTTCCCCCTTGGCAAGAGGAGCTTCCCCACCAGCCTGACCTCACTCAGCCTCAGGGCCAGGCCTGTGCCCTGGGCGGGTGGGCCACGGCATCTGGGATCTCTGCCCTGACCTCCTCCATGTCCCCAAGACCGTCCACACCGCCTCTGAGACCAACGGGATGGGACCCCCAGAGGGTGGGCCTCAGGAGGCCCAACTGAGGAAGGAGGTGGCCGCCCTGCGAGCGCAGCTGGAGCAGGCCCACAGCAACCGGTGAGCCAGGCAGCGCGTGGCAGGGAGGGGCCGGGCCCGGCCTGGGTGGGGCGTCACAGCCTTGGCCTTCTCCTCCTCAGGCCAAGTGGTAAGGAGGAGGCTCTGTGCCAGCTGCAGGAGGAGAACCGGAGGCTAAGCCAGGAGCAGGAGCGGGTGAGCAGGGGGGCGGAGGGCACGACAGACAGACAAGGCAGTGGGAGCCACTGGGCAGGTGGGCAAACTAGCCAGCGAGTGGGGCGGACGTAGACAGGGCTCGGGGTGCTGGGGGTACCTGGAGGGAGACGGCAGTGCCAGGATGGCTGGGGCCTGGGGCTGACCTTGCCTTCTGGCTGGCCCCAGCTAGAAGCAGAGCTGGCCCAGGAGCAGGAGACCAAGCAGCGGCTGGAGGGCGAGCGGCGGGAGACGGAGAGTAACTGGGAGGCCCAGCTCGCCGACATCCTCAGCTGGTGGGTGCCGGGGGTGGGCAGGGGGGTGCAGGTGAGACCGAGGGCCCAGCCCATGACCCTGAGCCCCTTCCGAATCAGGGTGAACGATGAGAAGGTCTCCAGAGGATACCTGCAGGCCCTGGCCACCAAGATGGCGGAGGAGCTGGAATCCTTGAGGAATGTGGGCACCCAGACGCTCCCTGCCCGGCCACTGGTAAGCCCCAGAGACCCCCTTGGGGGCTAGCTCAGGCAAGTCACTGACCTTCCATGAGCTCAGCGTCCCTGCTGCTGAAGGTCACTACTGGAGGTGGGGATGGTGAGCTCACAGTGGGTCAGTGGCCAAGCTGGAGCTTTGAGCCTGGCCAGGTGGCATGGGTAGTGGCATGCTCTGGTAGGATGGCGTCCCTGAGGCAGCCAGGCCTAGAAGGTATCTTATATGGGTGCCCCATGGCCACCAGGACCACCAGTGGAAGGCGCGGCGACTGCAGAAGATGGAGGCCTCAGCCAGGCTGGAGCTGCAGTCGGCGCTGGAGGCTGAGATCCGCGCCAAGCAGGGCCTGCAGGAGCGGCTGACGCAGGTGCAGGAGGCCCAGCTGCAGGCTGAGCGGTGAGGCTAGGGGCAGGCTTAGGGGGCCGGGGCCTGAGCAGAGGCCGGTGTCGAGCCCTTGCCGTTCTCCCCAGCCGTCTGCAGGAGGCTGAGAAGCAGAGCCAGGCCCTGCAACAGGAGCTGGCCATGCTGCGGGAGGAGCTGCGGGCCCGAGGGCCAGGGGGTGAGTAGCCACTGACTGCTTGCCCCAAAGCTAGGCACCTCTGCGGCCTCCCGCATGCCAAGGGGGCTCCATGATGGCCTGGCAGGGTGGTGGAGGCAGGAGTCCGTTCCCTGGACTCTGCCACTTACTCCATCATCTGTGACCAGCACTTCCCGAGTGCCTGCTGTGCCGAGCCCTGCCCGCTGCCCATGGTCATTTCCCATTTTACCGAGGTGCAAACTGAGGCCCCTCCTGGCCCCTGGTCCCTCAGGCCGGGGACCCCAGCCCAGTGACCCACACTCTCTTTGCAGACACCAAACCCTCGAACTCCCTGATTCCCTTCCTGTCCTTCCGGAGCTCAGAGGTAAGGACCAGGCCAAGGGGCTGGTTGGGTTGGGGTCCTGGGAGAGGCACAGAGGCCTTGACATTGCTCCTCTTTCTCCTTTCCCCAGAAGGATTCTGCCAAGGACCCTGGCATCTCAGGAGAGGCCCCAAGGCATGGAGGGGAGCCAGAGCTGAGGCCGGAGGGCCGACGCAGCCTGCGTATGGGGGTGAGGACAGGGGGGGTCCCTAGTAGGGGGGCTGGGCCCCACCACTGCCCGTCTCACCTGCTCCCCTGCCCTCCTGCAGGCTGTGTTCCCCAGAGCGCCTGCTGCCAACACGGCCCCTACGGAAGGTCTTCCTGCTAAGGTCAGTGCCCAGAGGGACAAGCGGGATGGGGCCGCCAAACAGTTCTGCCAGGCTGAATGGGCACCTCCACGTGCATCGTGACCAGCGGGCACAATTGGGGCGGAGGCGGTGGCAACGAGCTTGCCTGGTGCCATAGACTGGCTGGGGCTCAGCGGTCAATACCGCCTGGCTTAGCCCCTCGTCTCACCTGATCCCTCAGGGATGGGGCATGGGGCCCTGGGAGGCCTTGGGTAATGGCTATCCCCTTCCCCAGCCCGGCTCACACACGCTGCGCTCCCGGAGCTTCCCATCCCCCACCAAGTGTCTCCACTGCACCTCTCTGATGCTGGGCCTGGGCCGACAGGGCCTGGGCTGTGATGGTGAGTCCCCACCCCACCACACACCCACCCCCTATGCTCCAGCCACCGCCCCAGGTGTGTGGCCCTGGCACACCTAGGCTGTTTCTCCTATCCCAGGGTCACGGGCTCCTGCTGGTCAAATTTCCTACTGCTCAGCTTTGTTCCTTTTCTCACTTAATGAGGAATTGGGGACAGTTCGGGTACCACCGTGGCCTCAGGGAAGCTGGCTCTGGACATGCTCCAGTCTTTGTTTGGGGCTGCCCCTTCCCAACCTCACCCCATCTGCCTTCTCCACTTTCCCCACAGCCTGCGGCTACTTCTGTCACACAACCTGTGCCCCACAGGCCCCACCCTGCCCCGTGCCCCCTGACCTCCTCCGAACAGCCCTGGGAGTGCACCCCGAGACGGGCACAGGGACTGCCTACGAGGGCTTCCTGTCGGTGAGCGGGGGCCGAGGGAGGGGAAGACGGGTGCGGGGGTGCCGAGGGCCTCTGCAGTGCTCCCATGCTTGCCTTTCCACCAGGTGCCACGGCCCTCGGGAGTCCGGCGGGGCTGGCAGCGGGTGTTTGCTGCCCTGAGTGACTCACGCCTGCTGCTGTTCGATGCCCCTGACCCAAGGCTCAGCCCGACCAGTGGGGCCCTCCTGCAGGCCCTGGATCTGAGGTGGGTGCTGGGCAGTGGCATGGGGCAAGGGACTAGCGGTGGAGGGGGGCGGCCAGGGACAGGGAGACCCCTGACCTGTTCTGTGAACCTCCCAGGGACCCCCACTTCTCGGCCACCCCCGTCCTAGCCTCTGATGTGATCCATGCCCAATCCAGGGACCTGCCACGCATCTTTAGGGTGAGTGCCTGGGGTGAGATGGACCAGCCACCATCCACGTCCCCATGCCGTCCCCGCTCTGGACACTGTCCCCCACTCCACACTGCCCTCCTAGGCCAGCCACAACTATAACATGCTTTCCATATGAGCACCTAGCCGGGTCCTGCCTCATTTAGGATCCGCTGTGGTTTCCCATCGTCTGAGGAGTTCTCCTGCCCCAGCCCTTGAGGCCCCAAGGATCAAACCCCGCAGGCCTCCCCAGCCCTCTCCCTGGCACTGCTCTCTGCTCTGGCCACACCTTGCTTTCTCCAGTTCTGAGGGCTCCCTGTGTCTGTGGGCACCACGTTCTCGGTCCTTCATGTCTGTCTCTTTGCATGCAATTCCTGGCCCCGCGCTGGTACACACCCCTCACTTACCTTCACTACTTCTGGTTAGTGGCTCATCCCTCAGGCTCCAGCAGAAATGTCTAGTCCTCTGGGAAGTCAGTTTTCATCTCCTGGCCTGGGTTTGGGAGCCTCGTCTACGTTCCCACCAGGCCCACCCTCACCCCATTATGGCACTGGTCTCAGGGTTCTGGAGTTGTCTGTATGCCTTTCTGGCCTATTCCCTGCCGCTGAGTGTATGCGAGGCATCCCGGGCACAGCGGCTGCTGGAGGCAGGAAGGGAGGAAAGACAGGTGGCCCACAGCCCTCCAGCCTGGGTCCCTGCCCACAGGTGACGACCTCCCAGCTGGCAGTGCCGCCCACCACGTGCACTGTGCTGCTGCTGGCGGAGAGCGAGGGGGAGCGGGAGCGCTGGCTGCAGGTGCTGGGTGAGCTGCAGCAGCTGCTGCTGGATGCACACCCAAGACCGCGGCCCGTGTACACACTCAAGGAGGCCTACGACAACGGGCTGCCACTGCTGTCCCACACACTCTGCGCTGCCATCCTTGGTGAGCTGGGGGGCGGCTGGAGGGAGCAGTCCAGGTCTGCAGGAGTGCTGCTGTCTAGGATTAGTCCCAAGGGCCGGGCCCTGACCCTGCCCATTCCCTGCAGTCACGAGACAGACTGGCTTGCACCATGTATGCGCTCCAGCCTCCTGTGTGCACGGCTGTGTGAAAAGCCCTGGGCCACCAGGTAGGGGGCCTGGCTTATTCCCACTCTGTTTTGCCGTACCTCAGTTTCTGCATTTTCCAAAAGAATCAAGCGAGTGAAAGGAACAAAGCCTTTTTTTTTTTTTTTTTTTGAGACAAGAGTGTTGCTCTGTCACTCAGGCTGCAGTGCAGTGGTGCAACCTCTGCCTCCCCGGATTCAAGCGATTCTCCTGTCTCAGCCTCCAGAGTAGCTGGGATTACAGGCATGCACCACCTCGCCTGGCTGCTTTGTTAAAGCAGTGCACACAGGAGGCTGGAGCGCATAGACAGGGTTTCACCATGTTGGGCAGGCTGGTTGCGAACTCCTGACCTCAGGTGATCTGCCTGCCTCGGCCTCTCAAAGTGGCTGAGATTACAGGTATGCGCCACCACGCCCAGCTGGAACAAAGACTTTAGAACGAGATAAACGAGGGTTCAGTCCTGGCTGTCTCCCTGCAAGCTGGAGGTCTCGGGGGCCGTTGGGGAACCACTCAGAGCCTCATAACATCTCCTGGGTGGAGCTGCCATGAGCTTCACTTGTGCTCAGCCTTGAACCTGGGGCTCAGCAGGGCTCTTCTGTAACTGAGGCTGGGAAAGGCATGAAGCAGAGCTCCTTGGCCTTCCTGAGCAGCTGAGGCCCTGAGCCAGCCCCTGCTCTTAGGATGGGAGCCACAGGAGAGGCCCTGTGGGTCCCTGGAGCAGTCAGGAGCCAGAGGGGAGGGGATTTATTGAGCAAGGGGCTCTGCTGAGCCCCTGCAGCATCAATTCCTCGCTTCCTAAGAGCTGCTCTGTGAGAAAGGTACCATCGTCCCAGTTTACATAAGGGGAAACCAAGGTTCTGAGAGGTGACGTGACTTACCCAAAATTCTACAGCTCAAGGTGATGGGCCTCACCCCAACCCCTCTGGAAAATCCTGTCCAATTCTGGGAGAGAAGGGGTCAGTGAGGCAGGGACAGTGGGATTATCGCCACTCCCATTTCAAGAGAAACTAAGGCACAGCAAGGCAGGTGGAATGCCCAGTCTCCCTGTCATTGAGCGGACCTTCTGACCCCTGACCCTCTCCCTCCCTCTACCAGACCAGGATCGACTCGCTCTTGGCACCGACGAGGGGCTCTTTGTCATCCATCTGCACAGCAACGGTACCCATCAAGGCTGGGCCAGGGTGGGCGTGGGCAGGGGCAGCCCCAACGGGCAGAGGAAGATGGGGATGGGTCACTCTCCAACCACCTGCAGTGACACTCTCCCCTCGACACCCCTGCAGACATCTTCCAGGTGGGAGAGTGCCGGCGTGTACAGCAGCTGGCCTTGAGCCCCAGCGCTGGCCTGCTGGTTGTGCTGTGTGGCCGTGGCCCCAACATACGTCTCTTTGCCCTGGCGGAGCTGGAGAACGTAGAGGTAGCAGGTGCCAAGATCCCCGAGTCTCGAGGTTGCCAGGTGCTGGCAGCTGGGAGCATCCTGCAGGCCCGCACCCCAGTGCTCTGTGTAGCCGTCAAGCGCCAGGTGCTCTGCTACCAGCTGGGCCCAGGCCCTGGGCCCTGGCAGCGCCGCATCCGTGAGCTGCAGGCACCCGCCCCTGTGCAGAGCCTGGGGCTGCTGGGCGACCGGCTATGTGTGGGCACCGCCGGTGGCTTTGCCCTCTACGCACTACTCAATGAGGCTGCGCCATTGGTGCTGGGGGCCGGTTTGGTGCCTGAGGAGTTGCCACTGTCCCGCGGAGGCCTGGGTGAGGCACTGGGGGCTGTGGAGCTCAGCCTCAGTGAGTTCCTGCTACTCTTCACCACTGCCGGCATCTACGTGGATAGCGCAGGCCGCAAGTCTCGTGGCCACGAGCTGCTGTGGCCAGCAGCACCCACGGGCTGGGGTAAGGCCTGTGGCGAGCTTGGCAGGGGAGCCAGACACCTTCAGTGTGTGGGTGAAGACAGGGTCCCATCTCAACTCTTGAGCCTGGCATTGGAGGCCTTTGGTGCCATTTTTCATCTTCCAGCCCAGCAACACGCTGTCCCTCCCTCTGTGGCTTGCAGGGGACCTTCCTTTTCCATGGCTGAACTCATGCTCCTCTCCCGGATACCCGGCAAACTTTTTTTTTCCTTTTGAGACAGGGTCTCCCCCTGTCACCAGGCTGGAGTAGTGGCATATTCTTGACTCACTGCCACCTCCACCTCCTGGGCTCAAGAGATCCTCTCACCTCACCCTCCCGAGTAGCTGGGGCCACAGGTGTGTACCACCATGCCTGGCTAATTTTTGTATTTTTTGTAGCAACAGGGTTTTGCCATATTGCCCAGGCTGGTCTCAAACTCCCGGACTCAAGCAATCCTCTCGCCTCGGCCTCCCAAAGTGCTGGGATTACAGGTGTGAGCCACCAGCCCCAGCCTGTACCCAGCAAACTCTTAACTAGGTCCAGCCCGAGTGTCAGCTGAGGGCCTGGAGCTGGCAGGCACGCCAAAGATGACCGCTGCAGTTGCTGTGGTCACCACTGCCTTCATGCTCCCCACCCTGCCTCCCCGTCATTGGCTCTTTCCTTCTCTTTGCCCCCTACCTCTCTGTCCAGGCCTGTGCCATTTAATGACTGGCTTGGTGTACTGGGGTCCCACAGAATGGACTGGGGCCGATTTCCTCATCCATATCAAGCACCCAGCCCAAGCTGGGACACTCCAGGGGCGATGGGTTTAGAGGAATGAATGGAAGAGTGAATGAGTGAATGAATGAATGGGGGTGGTGGGGAGGTCTGGTGTATGCACAGGTAACTAGCATGATGAGAATGAGGGCTGAAGAGAGGGGCAGAGCATCCTTTGTGAGCAATGGCTCTTTGGGGTGGGGTCTGCAGGTTAGGTGCCACATACCACCCAAGCTGCCCGAAGCCAAATCCCAGCTGGGTGACCTTGACCATCACATGGTTCCAGGGATTTCCCTCACCTGGAAATTAGGGGTTATAACCAAAGTACCTGCTCAGAGTTGTGAGGGAATTAAGGGAGGAAAAGCATGGTCATTTAGCACCTAGCCAGGCCTGTGGTGAGTGGTCCAGGAGTATCTGAATTGTACAGATGACAGAAAGTCTTAAGAGGAAGGAACTTAGCTGGGGCGTGGCAATCACTGTGCTATGGCAGGAGACAGGTGTTCCCTGTGGGATAGCGGGGGAAAGAGCTCAGAGGTGCCTGGCGTGCCCGCAGGGTACGCAGCCCCCTACCTGACAGTGTTCAGCGAGAACTCCATCGATGTGTTTGACGTGAGGAGGGCAGAATGGGTGCAGACGGTGCCGCTCAAGAAGGTGAGGGTCCACCAGAGCCCGGGGGCAGCGCCAGGGGATGGTGGCGTGGCCTGACCTCTGTGCCTGCTGCCCCAGGTGCGGCCCCTCAATCCAGAGGGCTCCCTGTTCCTCTACGGCACCGAGAAGGTCCGTCTGACCTACCTCAGGAACCAGCTGGCAGGTGAGGGAGTGCGCGTGTATGCGTGTGTACGTTCACTGGTGCGCACATGTGGTTGTGTGGCCCTGAATGGCAGCTGACTGGGCCCCGGAGACGTGTGAGCACAGCCCAGCTCTTTGCTTCTCCCACAGAGAAGGACGAGTTCGACATCCCAGACCTCACCGACAACAGCCGGCGCCAGCTGTTCCGCACCAAGAGCAAGCGCCGCTTCTTCTTCCGCGTGTCGGAAGAGCAGCAGAAGCAGCAGCGCAGGTGCGCGTGCGCGATGCGGGGCTGCGACTAGGCGGGGCGAAGGGCTGTCCTGCTCGAGGGAGGGCAGAGCTTCGGCGCCCGCTCCATACACCCTCTCCGCCCGTAGGGAGATGCTGAAGGACCCCTTTGTGCGCTCCAAGCTCATCTCACCGCCCACCAACTTCAACCACCTGGTACACGTGGGCCCTGCCAACGGGCGGCCAGGCGCCAGGGACACACCCCGGGTGAGTCCTCCAGAGCCAATCACAAGCCAGTCTGGTGAGGCTGAGCCAATCACCGGCCTCCGTGGTGAGCTCTAGCCAATCACAGGCCTCCGTGGTGAGCTCTAGCCAATCACAGGCCTCCGTGGTGAGCTCTAGCCAGTCACCGGCCTCCGTGGTGAGCTCTAGCCAATCACAGGCCTCCGTAATTATCTGTGCCCTTGAGGCCTGGCACTCACCCTTCTGCTGCTTGGGACTTCAGCACATGCAGGTTGCGTGCCTAGTGGTGGTCATTTGTTCTGGTCTGTTGTGCCTTGGGCCTCCTGGCCTCCTTGTGCCTCCTGGTCCCAGCTCCTCCACACTGTCACCCAGCAGGCTCCGGAAGAGAAGAGCCGAGGTGCCCGTGGCTCCGGCCCACAACGGCCCCACAGCTTCTCCGAGGCGTTGCGGCGCCCAGCCTCCATGGGCAGCGAAGGCCTCGCTGGAGACGCAGACCCCAGTAAGGGCAGCCCCTCAGCCTCCAGTCTGCCACCCCTCACCCCAAGTTTCCACCCCCTTTAGATCCGTCACATCTGATCTTGGTATTTTTGTCCCCTTGTCTGCTGCTGGAGCAGTGAAGAGGAAACCTTGGACATCCCTGTCCAGCGAGTCTGTGTCCTGCCCCCAGGGATCACTGAGCCCTGCAGCCTCCCTAATGCAGGTAAGCCCGTCCAGGAGGCTTGTCCGTCCCCCATTCTAATGTCAGACAGTTCGGTTCTGTGCTAGGCCCTGCACAGGGACCCAGGCTAGGGAACAAGCTGAGCCCATCCTTGCCCTCGATTCTACAAGATGCAGATTCTTACCTGTCTCACGCCACCAGTGGGCACCAGCAGGGGCTTGGAGGCAGGCCTGCCTCGGTGGGAATCTTGGCTCTGACTGTTCCAGCTGTGTGGCCCTGGGCAAAGTGCCCAACCTCCCTGATCTTGTCTCATCTGTGAAATGACGTGGTTTCTGGGAGGCCTGCATGAGCTGATGATACCTGCCAAGGGCTCAGCACAGTGCCTGGCATGGGGAAGGGTGCCATAGAAGGAGAGCTCTTGGGATTCTTTTTTTTTTTCTTTTTTCTTTTTTTTTTTGAGACGGAGTTTCGCTCTTGTTACCCAGGCTGGAGTGCAATGGCGCGATCTCGGCTCACCGCAACCTCCGCCTCCTGGGTTCAGGCAATTCTCCTGCCTCAGCCTCCTGAGTAGCTGGGATTACAGGCACACGCCACCATGCCCAGCTAATTTTTTGTATTTTTAGTAGAGACGGGGTTTCACCATGTTGACCAGGATGGTCTCGATCTCTTGACCTCGTGATCCACCCGCCTCAGCCTCCCAAAGTGCTGGGATTACAGGCTTGAGCCACCGCCCCCGGCTTTTTTTTTTTTTTTTTTTAAGATGCAGTCTCACTGTGTCGCCCAGGCTGGAGTGCAGTGGTACAATTTCGGTCACTGCAACCCCCACCTCCCAGATTCAAGCAATTCTCCCACCTCAGACTTATGAGTAGCTGGGATTATAGGCGTGTGTCACCACGCCCAGCTAATTTTTGTATTTTAAGTAGAGATGGGGTTTCACCATGCTGGTCTCAAACTTATAACCTCAAGTGATCCACCCGCCTCAGCCTCCCAAAGTGCTGGGATTACAGGCATGAGCCACTGCGCCCAGCCATTCTTGGGATTCTTAACAGAGGCCCAGTCCAGGGTAGAGAGTTGGGGAGTCAGAGGAGGGAGCAATCCATTCCAAATGAGGGCAGGGGAAAACCTAAGAGAAGCTGGGAAGGTTCACATTCACCCTCCAGCCATGTCTCCTGAACACACATCCACCCACTCCCGACACACCCGGCTACTGGGAGCCCTGGGGCTTGCTGTGTTCTTTCACATCTTCAGGTCACTTTCCCCTGCAGTCCCCTCTGTTTTGAATCCCTTTCCCTGTCTTTACTTTGACAATACCAGACTGCCCTCCAGGTGACCCACCAGGATCATCTTCAAAGGAGCCTTCCTGGCCTCTTGGTCACGTGATCATTGCCCTCCTGGGGCTGGTGCCACCTTCACCACCCCACTCCCTCCACATCTTCCTTGCAGCTCTTGCTGGGCCATGGGTTTCTTCTGGTGCTTGTCCTCTTCCCTTGACTGTGGGCTCCTTGGTGGTGGGGGTCAGGCTTCATATTTCTGCCCAGAGTGAAGCATGTGTGTCGACTGAATGAAGAATGGAGTGAATGAACAAAGGGACTTTGAGGCCAGGTGTGGTGGCTCACCCCTGTCATCACAGCACTTTGGGAGGCAGAGGTGGGTGGATCACTTAAGGTCAGGAGTTTGAGACCAGCCTGACAAACATGGTGAAACCTTGTCTCTATTAAAAATACAAAAATTAGCTGAGCCTGGTGATACATGCCTGTAATCCCAGCTACTTGGGGGGCTGAGGCAGGATAATTGCTTGAACCTGGGAGGCGGAGGTTGCAGGGAGCGGAGATCATACCACTGCACTCCTGCCTGGGCAACAGGGTGAGACTCTGTCTCCAAAAAATAATACAAAGATTAGCCAGGTATGATGGTGAATGCCTGTAATCCCAGCTACTTGGGAGGCTGAGGCAGGTTCACTTGAACCCGGGAGGCAGAGGTTGCAGTGAGCCAAGATCGTGCCACTCCTGGACTCCAGCCTGGGCGACAGAGCAAGACTCTGTCTCAGAAAAACAAAAAAGCAGGGACTTCAAGTCCATTCAAGGTTAAGTAGGAGATCTCCAGGTCCTTCCAGTAACCCATGTGCCACCCCCACACCCCACCTCACATCCGGCTTCCTCCAGGGGCCCTGATACAGTAGGTGACGGGTCTAAGGGGGCCTCTGGGAGGCACTGGCCCTGTGAGGAAAGAGTCCTCCCTGATCCTCCTCCCCCCACCCAACTTCCTTTTCTTTCTCCTGCAGGTCTCAGAACGGCCCCGAAGCCTACCCCTATCCCCTGAATCAGAGACCTCTCCTTGACGACCTCCGTTAGGACCCACCCCAATCCCAGGGCAGAAAGACACTTGGGAACGAAGAGCTTGAGGAATGCCACACTCCGGCTGGTCCGGGACGTGCAAATTCAGACTCAGGGAGGGCCCGGGCTGGGCAATGACTGGGAGCCTTGCCTGGGTTCCCGGGACTTGGGGGTCCTGACTCCCAGCCCTCATCCTGCCTTACCCCTCTGTTCCCGGCCCCAGCCTTTGCTAGCCATTGGGAATAGAATGGCCCCTTTTGTCCTGGCGACCAGGGTGAATGTGCCAAAGCTCTTATTTCTAGTGCCAAGCCTCCGGAGGCTTGAAGAGTCTGGATGAGGGATGGAGAGGCCATAGGTCTCTGGGAACAGGTTGGGGTCTTATCTGTGGACTGTCGGGCTCCCAGCTGAGGCCAAGATGGGGCATGTCCTGGTCTCTGCTCAGCATCTGGGTGAGAAAAACAGGCTGTGATCCAGAGGAAGGGAGGATAGAGGAGGAAGAAGAGGATGTAGGTGAAGGAGGTGAGAGACAGGCAAGGGAGGAAGGAAGTGGAGGAGGAGGTGAGAGGAATTAGAAAGGGGTAGAAGTCATGCAGAGGAGGAGGGGAGAGGGATGAAGGAGAGCGATGAACAACAAAAGGAGGGGGGTGGAGAGGGAGCTAGGAGAACAAAGGGTCCTTTCTCCAGAGAGGGGGACAGTGGGCGGGGCTGACACTGTCAGCCAGTCCTCCCAGCAGGGAAGAGAATCCTGGACAGGGAGGAGATGAGAGGGTATTTATAAGGGCTTCTTGGTGGGAGATGGGAACCCAGTGAGGGCCACTGGAGGGTCCCTGGGCACACTCTGGCCCTTCCCAGAAAGGGGGGTCCTTTTTCTTGAAGCTTCAACCAATTGTGTATTAGGGGAACCTAGGGGGCATTTTATTATTGATCACAGTCATTATTATTGTTATTATATTGCTATTTTTATTAAACCTCCCCCCACTGAAGGGCCGGGGCAAAATAAATATTTATCTTCTCAAATGCCACATTCCCAGGAAGGACAGACCCTGATGCTCCGTCAGACAACAAGAAACCAATAAAGGCAACTTTGTAAGCTGCTGGCCTCCCAGCCTGGATCTGTCCTCCTGAGGTTCAGAAGATGGGGGATTAGGAATGGAGAGAAGAGTGGGGTGTCACAGTTAAAGACCAGGTTGTCTTCTCTGCATTTTCAGGAATCAGGTGACACTCAGATGGGGTAAATGGAAGAGACTTCACTAATGAAGGGACAGTTCACAGAAGCACGCAAGTGCTAAGGGAGCGTGCCAGTGAACGGTGGTGCCTGAGAGCCCCGGCAGGATAGGAGCTGTTAGGCCCCCAGGCCACCCAGGCTGGAAGAGTGGTGGTGCTACCTGTCAGGAGCTCTAGCTTTTGGTAGAACTTGACTGTGGCTGAGCTGAAAGGCAGCCTAGGAAATAAATTCCTCCACCTCACTCCCTCTCATCTCCCGCCTCCCTTTGTACAAATTCAAAGGGCAGCCAGAGGCCCCAAGAATTCAGTAACTGGCAAGACACGGTGGCTCACGCCTGTAATTCCAGCACTTTGGGAGGCCAAGGCAGGGGGATCACTTGAGGTCAGGGATTTGAGACCAGCCTGGCCAACATGATAAAACCCCGTCTCTACTAAACATACAAAAATTAGCTAGGCATGATGGCGGGCACCTGTAATCCCAGCTACTTGAAAGGCTGAGGCAGGAGAATTGCTTGAACCCAGGAGGCACAGGTTGCAGTGAGCCGAGATCACACCACTGCACTCCAGCCTAGCAACAAGAGTGAAACTCTGTATCCAAAAAAAAAAAAAAAAAAAAAAAAAAAGGCCGGGCACGGTGGCTCAGCCTGTAATCCCAGCACTTTGGGAGGCCGAGGCGGGTGGATCACGAGGTCAAGAGATCGAGACCATCCTGGTCAACGTGGTGAAACCCCATCTCTACTAAAAATACAAAAAATTAGCTGGGCATGGTGGCACGTGTGCCTGTAATCCCAGCTACTCAGGAGGCTGAGGCAGGAGAATTGCCTGAACCCAGGAGGCGGAGGTTGCAGTGAGCCGAGATCGCGCCATTGCACTCCAGCCTGGGGTAACAAGAGCGAAACTCCGTCTCAAAAAAAAAAAAAAAAAAAAAAAAAGGAACTCAGTAACTGCAGGCTGTTGGGGCCAGTCTTGGCACAGAGAAGGGTGGAGAAGGGGGAAGTGGATCCGAAGGGCACAACATGGGCATCCAGTGCTGGGCTGCCCACCCAGGTGAGGCTGATGAGAAGGCAACAGGGGAAGGTCTGGGAGGGGTTTCACTTGTTTTTAGCTGGGGTGTCCAAGACTTAGCAGGACCCAGGCCTCGGCTGGACTGGACGGGAAGGAGGGAAGGAGTGTACCCTAGGATCAAGGCAGGCCTGGGCGGCCGATGGCTATGCTCCAAGGCTTATGGTGGGCCCTAAAGCTAGGGGAAAGTACTGGAAAGGGTCTGGGGGTCACTGTGTGGCTGGGAATGGGGATTGGAGGGTGTCTGTGGAATTCTAGGGCCTGGTTAGGGGCCCAGGTATGAGAATCACATAGCCTGGATTCTGGTCCAGCTATGCAGCCACTGGCAAGGTACCTGACCTCAGTTTCCACATCTTTAAATGGGAATCAAAAAACTTAGGGCTCGGCATGGTGGCTCACGCCTGTGATCTCAGCACTTAGGGAGGCCTAGGTGGGTGGATCACTTGAAGTCAGGAGTTCAAGACCAGTCTGGCCAACATGGTGAAACCTCATCTCTACTAAAAATACAAAAATTAGCTGGGTGTGGGGGCATGCTACTTCCAGCTACTCAGGAGGCTGAGGCAGGAGAATGACTTAAACCCAGGAGGCAGAGGTTGTGGTGAGCTGAGATCACCCCACTGCACTCCAGTTTGGGCAATAGAGCGAGGCTCTGTCTCAGAAAAATAAATAAATAAAATGTATTACAGGCTGGGTGAGGTGGCTCACACCTGTAATCTTAGCAGTTTGGGAGACTGAGGTGGGAGGATCTCTTGAGGCCAGGAGTTTGAGCCTGTAGTGAGCTATGCTTGCACCACTGCACTCCAGCCTGGGTGACAGGGAAAGACCCTGACTCACCAAAAAAAAAAAAAAAAAAAAAAAAGCATAAAAAAAAAAACCAAAAAACAAAACTCATGGGAGGTTCTCGTGAGACTGGTGAGACTGGTGAGATCATGATGGAAAATGCCTGGGGCCCACTCAGGAAATATTTCTTCAGCCTACTGAGGTGCAGAGACTCAAAGAGCCCTGTGCAGGGATACTCAGGCCTTTGGCGAGCTGAGACCTGAAGCTGTCCCTCACTAAACTGGAGAAACAGCTGCTTCCTAGCACCCAGCAATAATTCAGCCAAAAGACTTTCAGATTTACAAATTTTTACATTAAAAAAAAATTAATTTTCTCCCAATATTTTATGTTAACATATTTTAAACCTATGGAAAGAATATGAACTCTGGCCAGGCACTGTGGCTCACACCTGTAATCCCAGCACTTTGGGAGGCTGAGGTGGGCAGATCACCTGAGGTTGGGAGTTCGACACCAGCCTGGCCAACATGGTGAAACTCCATTGCTACTAAAAATACAAAAATTAACCAGGCATGGTGATGCGCATTTGTAATCCCAGCTACTCAAAAAGCTGAGGCAGGAGAATCGCTTGAACCAGGGAGGCGGAGGTTGCAGTGAGCTGAGATCATGCCAGCCTGGGCAACAGAGTGAAACTCAATCTCGAAAAAAAAAAAAAAAAAAGCCAGGTGCAGTGGCTCACGCCTGTAATCTCAGCACTTAGACAGGTTGAAATGGGTGGATCACCTGAGGTCAGGAGTTCAAGACCAGCCTGGCCAACATAGTGAAACACTCTCTCTACTAAAAATACAAAAAAAATTAGCCAGGCATAGTGGCGGGCACCTGTAATCCCAGCTACTTGGGAAGCTGAAGCAGGAGAATGGCTTGAACCTGGAGGCGGAGGTTGCAGTGAGCCACTACAACCTGGGCAACAGAGTGACACTCTGTCTTTTTTTTTTTTTTTTTTTTGAGACGGATATTCGCTCTTGTTACCCAGGCTGGAGTGCAATGGCGCGATCTCGGCTCACCGCAACCTCTGCCTCTTGGGTTCAGGCAATTCTCCTGCCTCAGCCTCCTGAGTAGCTGGGATTACAGGCACGTGCCACCATGCCCAGCTAATTTTTTGTATTTTTAGTAGAGACGGGGTTTCACCATGTTGACCAGGATGGTCTCGATCTCTTGACCTCGTGATCCACCCGCCACGGCCTCCCAAAGTGCTGGGATTACAGGCTTGAGCCACCGCGCCCGGCTGACATTCCATCTTAAAAAACCAAAAAGAATACCAACTCCATATACTCTTCCCCTAGATCCACCAATAAACATTTTGCTGCTGTTTCTTTCTACCTATCTATATAGCATGTATTTTGCTAAACCGTTGAAAATAAGTTGCAGACATCTTATACTTCACATCTAAATACTTCAGCAAGCACGTTTTAAGAATAAGAAGCCAGACCTGGTCCAGTGGCTCACACCCATAGTCCCAACACTTTGAGAGGCTGAGGTGGGAGGATTGCTTGACCCCATAATTTGAGACCAGCCTAAGCAATATAGTAAGACCCTGTCTCTACAAAAAATAAAAAATAAGCCAAGACAATTAATTTCTGTTGTTTAAGTCACCCACTTTGTTGTGCAATTTGTCAAAAATGTGACTTGGCAGGGTAGCGTAGCTCATGCCTGTAATCTCAGCACTTTGGGAGCCTGAGGTGGGGGCATCACTTAAGGCCAGGAATTTGAGACCAGACTGCACCACGTGGTGTGACCCTGTTGCCTAACATGGTTCTGTCACCCAGGCTGGAGTGCAGTGGTGCAATCATAGTTCATTGTAGTTTTGAATTACTGGGCTCAAGTGATCATCCTGCCTCAGCATCCCAACTAGCTGGGATTACAGGCCCATGCCTCCGGGCTTCTTCTTTTTTTTTTTTTTTTTTTTTTTTTTGTAGAGATAAGGTCTTATTACGTTGCCCAGGTTGGTCTTAAACTCCTGGCTAGAAGTGACCCTCCGGCCTTGGCCTCCCAAAAGTGCTAGGACCACAGGGGTGAGCCACTGCACCTGATCTAGATTAAACTTTTATTTGTTTATTTTTCCATTGCCCCAGATTAAACTTTTTAAGTTAAGAATATTACTTAGCTGGTGTTATTTTAAATTAATTTTAATTACAACAATACACAAAACTTTTTGTAAAATAAATTAGGGGGCCAGGTGCAGTGGCTCACGCCTGTAATCCCAGCACTTTGGAAGGCCAAAGCCAGAAGATCACGCGATCAGGAGTTCGAGACCAGCCTGGCCAACATGGTGAAACCTTGTCTCTACTAAAAATACAAAAATTAGTCGCGCATGGTGGCATGCGCCTGTAGTCCCAGCTGTTTGGGAGGCTACGACAGGAGAATCACTTGAACCCAGGAGGCAGAGGTTGCAGTGAACCGTGATTGCGCCTCTGCCTCTCACTGCACTCCTGCCTGGGACAGATCGAGACTCTGTCTCAAAAATAAAAAATAAAAAAAATACAAAGAAATTAGGGGCTCAATTCCCCACTGACTGCCTCCCCTCTGCCCATGAGATTACTTGCTATTAGCTTGTTCCGCGCATACCCGTGTTGGCGATGTCCAGAGGGCCTGCCCTCCGAGGGCCTCCTTGCCTTTAGCAGCAGAAATAACTTGGAGCCTCAGACCCTTCCATCCCCTGCCCTCATACTTACAGCTGGGCCCCTGACCCCCAGCAAACCTTGAGAGCCTTGGAAGTGGTCCTGCCCTTTCTTGCTGCGGGTCAGTGTCACTGCAGGAGGCTCAGGTGTCCCAGGTTTTGCACAGCTCTGGCCATCCCCTTTTCTGACCCTATCTCCACCCCTCTCCAGCTCCTGGCAGATGTCCTCTGTCCCCTCTGGAGGTGATGGTCCATCACTAGCAAAATCTCCTGGTCTTCACCACCTTCTCCAAACAGTTCCTATTCCTCCTGCTCTAGCAGAAACCCTGGACTCCTAAGGTCCCCACCACTCCT